GTTGTGAAATTTGCGGTTGAGAATCGCATCTGGAAGTTACTATAGTATTCTCTCATAATGTTTTGCACCTCTTGTGGGACGTAGAAAAAATCCAGAGATAGATAGAGAACTTTGTCACAGTATTTTGTCACAATATAGATAGAGAACTTTGTCACAGTATTTTGTCACAATTGATAGGGAGATTTGTCACAGTATTTTGTCACACTATAGATAGAGAACTTTGTCACAGTATTTTGTCACAATAGATAGGGAGATTTGTCACAGTATTTTGTCACACTATAGATAGAAACCTTTCTGATCACAGTATTTTGTCACACAATAAATAGAGAACTTTGTCACAGCATTTTGTCATAAAATGGATAGAGACCTTTCTGGTCACAGTATTTTGTCACACAATAGATAGAGACCTTTCTGGTCACAGTATTTTGTCACACAATAGATAGAGACCTTTCTGGTCACAGTATTTTGTCGTGATAAAAAAACAAGCGTAAACTAAATGGAGCAAATCAAAACACACGCCGGATTCAGAAGGAAAATTGGCACCAGTGGCTGCCGTAGAATGACAAAGTTCTTCCCGCTCAGTACCTAGTTCGGAGAAAGTTGATGTCAAAATTGTTGAGTTTCACATGTCAATCTTTGTACAATGCAATTCTTTGAATATCTTGATAACGACTCAGAAAGATCTTACAATTTTGATAGAGCAGATAGATAGAACATTTATTTAGTTTCTGACATCATGGTCTTAGTCACTCAAAACGGCTTAAAATGCCAGCCAGAACCTTGCCATTCTAAGGTACGGAACATATAAATCAGCAAAACACACAGGTGCATTTTTCACAGTATGAATGACACAAAATGGAAGAATTTGTATACGGAAATTGGGCTTCCTTTTTTTTCTTAAAAGAACCCAATAAAAGAGGTTCACTTCAAACGTTGTAGAATGATCGGAAGCCGAGTCCTCACGGACGAGATGGCCGTTCTTTCCCTTGGGCTGTTGGAAGAGTTGGATCGGCTGTTCGCCACAATGCTTTGCTCATGTACCAGAGGAGGACGTCAACTCAACAGTCTTACGTTTATGATGATGTTCACTGTCGAGTCTTACGTTTATGATGATGTTCACTGTCGAGTCTTACGTTTATGATGATGTTCACTGTCGAGTCTTACGTTTATGATATGTTCACAGTTTGAAGGACGTCAACTCAAAAGTCTTACGTTTATGATGATGTTCACTGTCGAGTCTTACGTTTATGATATGTTCACAGTTTGAAGGACGTCAACTCAAAAGTCTTACGTTTATGATGATGTTCACAGTTTGAAGGACGTCAACTCAAAAGTCTTACGTTTATGATGATGTTCACAGTTTGAAGGACGTCAACTCAAAAGTCTTACATTTATGATGATGTTCACAGTTTGAAGGACGTCAACTCAACAGTCTTACGTTTATGATGAGGTTCACAGTTTGAAGGACGTCAACTTAACAGTCTTACATTTATGATGATGTTCACTGTCGAGTCTTACGTTTATGATGATGTTCACAGTTTGAAGGACGTCAACTCAAAAGTCTTACGTTTATGATGAGGTTCACAGTTTGAAGGACGTCAACTTAACAGTCTTACATTTATGATGATGTTCACTGTCGAGTCTTACGTTTATGATGATGTTCACAGTTTGAAGGACGTCAACTCAAAAGTCTTACGTTTATGATGATGTTCACAGTTTGAAGGACGTCAACTCAACAGTCTTACGTTTATGATGATGTTCACTGTCAGGAAAGTTGCGTTAGGTGCACGGGCATGTACCTCCCAGGACCATACTACTACTACTATCTCACTATGTATCAATAGATCTAGGTCTTACTTTCATCATTTTGGGGGATATAATCAAACGATTCTCTGATGGTACAATCTATCCTGCCCGTTATTTCAGGATTAATGACAAGCTTACTGGCGTCCGTGGTGGAGCGGTTAGACACTTGGCCATCGTATGTAGAAGACCCCGGGGTCAAGTCCCAAGTGGGGAGAAATTGTATCGAGTACCTCGGTATTTCTGCAGTGTTGTATTGTTCATTTTGATGGAGTACCTCGGTATTTCTGCAGTGTTGTATTGTTCATTTTGATGGAGTACCTCGGTATTTCTGCAGTGTTGTATTGTTCATTTTGATGGAGTACCTCGGTATTTCTGCAGTGTTGTATTGTTCATTTTGATGGAGTACCTCGGTATTTCTGGGGGGGTTGTTGTATTCTTCTCAGCCCAGGGTATTCCTGACAAGCGTGGCCGAAGTCTGCCTACTGAATGGCCCAAAGTGTCTCGATGACGGCGTAAAAGACTTCTATTAATACAACAATTCTAGAAAATGGTAAAAAAATCCTTCTCACCTTTCCTCAAGATGCTGTTGTCTCGAAGTGGCTTCTGTGGGTAAAAGATGTTGCTGTTACTCTACAATGGAATCATAAAAATGGGCCTTATATTGTCTGTGATACTTGATCTGTCTAGGCGGGGTCTTCTGTGCTCCAAACTTGTCCTGCCATAGAGAGTCAAGAGACCGATAGGCCTTATTGTCTCATTGTCTTATTGTCTCATTGTCTTATTGTCTCATTGTCTCATTGTCTTATTGTCTCATTGTCTTATTGTCTCATTGTCTTATTGTCTCATTGTCTTATTGTCTCATTGTCTTACTGTCTCATTGTCTTATTGTCCCATTGTCTCATTGTCTTATTGTCTCATTGTCTTATTGTCTGCGATACTTGAGTCAAGAGACCGATAGGACCAACGTACCAGCTAGACCACATCAACAGACCACGGCCAACAAGACAAAGCAATGCGGAGGTATCCTAATTCCTACAAGGTGTTCAGGGAAGAAATCTAATTAAAAGTAATGAATTCAACCTGAAAGTCCTTACGTAGGTTTTTAATCTATCTATCTATCTATCTATATCTATCTATCTATCTATCTATCTATCTATCTATCTATCTATCTATCTATCTATCTAGGGTGACCTTATTTAGGCCTCATATATGGCAGATTTCTTGAACTAACCATGGATTTGCAAGAAGATCGAGATTCTACAGATCTTTATATTTAGTGCGGGGGATTATTTCAAAATAGAGGAATGATACTGAAGGAAAAGTGGACCAAGGGTAGGAGTTGTGTGTGTGTGTGTGTGTGTGTGTGTGTGTGTGTGTGTGTGTGTGTGTCTGTGTGTGTGTGTGTGTGAGTGAGTGGGTGTGTATGTATGTGTTTGTTTTGGGTGTGGTTGTGGTGAGAGAGAAATCGAGAGAGAGAGAAAGAGAGATAGAGAGTGTGTGTAAATGTAATGGTGTGTTTGTATGTGTGTGTGTGTGTGTGTGTGTGTGTGTGTGTGTGTGTGTGTGTGTGTGTGTGTGTGTGTGTGTGTGTGTAATGTGTGTAAGTGTGTGAATGTGATTAAGTGCGTGAGTGTCTATCTCAGTTGTACGGTCCAAATGTACATTATTTTGTTGAGAATTTCTCATAGAACTCAACTACAAAACACTTCTATACAAAGTCAAGGAATATTCTTTTTGTGCTTATTGAGGTACAGTGCAGGGTGATTTTAAGACCACCCACAAGGATAATCGGACAAAATGGGCAATATCTTTACAGCTGATGGTCATATTTAGACAAATCCTACAGCATTCTCTTTTTTTCTTAACTGCTCATGATTATTAAAGGGTAAGCCAACTAGGGAGTAATTTCCTCATATTGTGGGCATTCTAACAAATGTAAAACTTGTTTTTAGTGCTTTTGTCAATGTCAAATGGATTCCTTAAAAAAAAAACCACCAATGACCTTATCTTTCTTTTTCAAAGTATTGTACTTACATTTGAGTGAAACTATAGGCCTATTTTATGCTTTCAAGTACATGAAAAAAGCTAATAAAGTCAAGCAAAATGTTCTTCAGAGACAGAGATCTAGTAGTAGGCCCACTGGAACATTTTATAAACCGTGAAAAGATGACCAGAAAATAACAAAATTGTCTTATGATCTTCACTTGCACTTGCAATTTTTTGGACGAATTATAGTTTACCTCATTATCTTTTTTTTTCACACATTTTTCTTCATTATTGAGGACAACTGTATTGTTTTCAGTTATTATCAAGGAGGTGGATAGATGGATCACGGGGTCTACCTAGCCAAAAGGATAGGTGGA